TCAGCCACTGACTTACGGCCTACCGGATGAGCTATTCACTTCGTTCACATGTCCCAATCTGCTTTGTTTCATCTGTGGTTCTGACACGTCAGATGCTATCTGTTCTCCCCCTTTAACTTGTGCGTTTGACAGTACAGTTTTCAACTGTTACGCCTACCACGTCACTTACAAGTTCACACATGCAATGGAAACTGCCAGGCTTCCAGATATGTAGTAATGAGCAGTCCAATTGTCCAGAGCGGGTAGGTGCGACCATGTAACAATTAAACTGTCGTCTTTATCACCCAGTCACTGTGAGCTTAGGTTTAGAGTTGTGAATAATTTGTATTGCTACCGAATAGAATATTACCCGGTAAGCAAAGCATGAGGAAGCTGAGCTGGACTAACGTACACAACTGTATACTGTACTTGCTAACCTACAATCATCCTCGGGTGATTTGTGTAAATGTTAACACAATCACAGGAAACAGAAGCGGATAAATCAAATACTACCTACAAGTTTGATTAAAGGTGGGTACTACTGTGTATCGTGTGATACGTCAAAGATAGAACATATAGTTCCTTTTTGATTTTCACAGCTCCAGAAGAAATGACCAAGCCTCATACCTTAACCCGTACCGAATCGAATTCTTCTGGCAGTTCGGTAAACCGGAGTTCACGGAGCTCTCAAAACAGTCAGCATACTCCGATTAGAACAGAGGATTCCATGGTTGCAAGCAGACAGGAGCCAACATTGATCGCTATGAGGTAAGCTGTTAATGATTTTTCTAGAGCATTGGATTTTTAGACGGTTACTGACTTAAGGCGTCCCCCAGTTTGCGTGTTTTTTTTATACTACTTACTTAATGCAAACTTGATAACGCCATTCCGACAGTCTGAATTAACTTCTGGGGATGGTTGGAAATCTTCCACAGAATACTATGTGTCAGCTTGTAAGCAGCACAGTATATGTGTTAAACAATGCATGCTGTTCCTCGTAAGCTCTGTGCGCTTCATCACAACCGTTTGTTCATTGCATACTTCGTAGAACCAGGTCGTTTGTAGTGTACTTCCGGTTAATTTGACGGACAAATACATATTACTTATCTTACCATCGTTTGGTTAAATTTTATCGTCGAAATCAAAACAGTTCATCGTGTTTATCAAAGGTCAATCCCAGGCAAACAACAACGTATGCGGTAGTTGGGGCAGTGATCTCAGCAGAAATGCAACAGTTACATCAAATCGCTCAACCCTGGTGCAAGTAAACTGAACTGGCTAACCTTGCAGCTTAATTTTATCTGATCCTCAACGATTAACAATGTTAGTATTGAGGAAAATAGCGCCGATTATTGTCATCCAACAGTGGCCCTGCCAGCGGCGCACGACGCTGTTACGGTATTGTTGAGTCACGGTATCTTGCTTAAATTTGCTGGGGTTACTTGTCTCTGTACATTCTACGACTGGTGATGGAAAAGTAAAAAAGCCCTCGATATTAAAACAAGGCGGCTAATTGGTGTCCCCTACCCAGCCTGTATCGAAAAAGTCGAATTTTCACTCAGGAATTCACTTTCATGCATTTAATCGTGCTGTCTGTTACTTGAACAAACAGTGCGGACTTTAGTTCAGGAGATATGCAAAATTTAACATATCATTTTCCTCGGTGAAACAATATTCTCTTTAGACTGTGAAAAATTTAGGCTTTGACTTGGATTCGAACCAGCAACAGAAACAGCGTGCCCAAACGCGACAAGCTCTGTACCAACTGAGCTACGAAGCCACACGGGGAGCCATAAAATACTGGCAAGTAATATTCTGTTTGATGGCTACGTTAAGAAACCTCATGCTTAGGTTTTACACATCAATCTCCATCCGTTCCTCTCTTTTACTCCACAAATCAGGGACGTTCATTCACCCTTGTGTTACAATAAGGTGTTAGTTGACCTGTAACACCAACTACTAGTTTATGACAGTCGATAAGGATGCGGTACTGTTGTATCATGTACACCATTGCTACTGCTTAGTTTGACGTGAGTCGCACGCGCGGAAACCACCTTATGGTTCTCAAAACCAAGATGACTAGTAGACGGAAGCGACGATCGGAAAAGTGCACATTCTTTGAGTGACATTAATAAGGAGTTCTGTTATGCACTGCTGCCAACGGATATTGGTACACGTCAGTCCGTGCAAACGAGGGTTTGCGTCCATGGCTGTATATTCTCACCTAATCTGTAGTGTTGCCTAACAATGAATAATCTCCCAGGTCCAAGCTTCTTTTGTAACTTACTGTATTACTGTTTCTACTTAAAGATTATTTAGACATTGTTATCGTCGTAGAAGTTAGTAATTTAGTGTTTGACTATTTCTTTGTAAGTACCTTTCGGTTTACTAGCAAGAAGTAGGGGAATATCGGTTGATATGAACCGACCACCATTCACACTTGATCGCAGCACCCGCATTCCCATGAGTTTTTCAGCCAGTCCATTTCGAAAAAACACTGCACACGAGTTTTGAACAAATTTGGTTGAGCGTTTGCATATCATAGCACAGTTGTGCTTGATGTGAGAACAGTGCCACAGCTAGCAACACGGTTGCTTCATGTAAGCGTGACCACATCTCCATTATCAGCCGTGAGTGAGATAGTAGGTAGTACTGACGAGCTCTAATATGAGCGCAACTGGAGCCACATGTTTTTTCCGACAGGAGCTGACTGAAAGTCTATGAGACTGCGAGAGCTACGATCAGTTGAGTGGTTTGTACCACATTAACGACATGTTGGTCTGCGAATCTACATTACTTCCTCAATTACATGCACCAATATTTCGGATCCGTCTCCTTTGCTGAGGTTCTCACCCTGTTGACTCCATTTTTGACGACCTCTAGACAAACTCGATGGCAAGAACGGTGTTATTTTGCTGAGTTTTCGGGAAGGTATACGTACCTAACGACACGTGGTAGTGAAAGTTGTCCTGCTGACGACGTTTTACTTTCACTTACAGATCAGTTGTTTGTTTGCAAGGTGTAGNGTGTCCTCTTCTATGGACTAGCCAATCCAGAAAGGACAACTGACCAAGACCAAGTCCTAGCTCTCGTTCATCTGATTTTGGAATCTACCCGATTAAGTTGTTGCGGAATGTTTCAACCCCTTTTCCTTTTATAGTAACAAGAATGCCGTCCGCGTAGAGTCACCAAACTTTGGATGTGTTTTCAAACTATCCCAACTCCCCAAACTTTCTCACATAAATTTTTACTAAAACACTAGAGATCCCTTGACAACTCCGTGTTCTCGAAAATACTCGTTTTGGAGACACCGTGTTTTTCAGTATTTATGGATTTCCGTCTGTCAGTAGTGATACGGTCCGTTTCATAACGTACTTGTGGTGAACAGATCAGCTGCTCGCTGACCGATAGACCAAACGATTGACTTCTCTCTTGCTATCCTGGTTTGTTTAGTTGGGCCTTCAGAGTCATACCGTGCCTCACCTGATTGCCTGTCTGTTTATTCCAATCAAATATGAGGCTATCTGGAGTGGCGAAAGGCTTTCTTGCACCGGCCCGTCCAGCTGGCCTCTTGCAACCTAAAGTGGGGCTTTAACTTCTCTCTGTAGGTCAACCGTTGCACCATTCACGTCACACTGAGTAGTGTCGAATTATTTTACCCAAATATCGCTATCTTTGTCTATGAGTACTGGTTATCTTATCGTTTTGAGAATAAACCCTGTGACTGAATATTAACTTAAGTAGGTAATCCCCACAGTCATATTTTCGAAGTGAAGACAAAATCGTGTTGCTTTATGCCAGGTTCATGAATCTTCGTACAGAAGTGAGCAATAACAGTTCCATTCCAATATTTTGCCCAATTCATTCGTACACTCTTGGTTTCAGCACAAATGACTTACGGAAGCATGAAGATACGGTTCTCCAAGTGGCTCACTGACATGTGCCCTACTGATTCACGGGGATTACAGTGGGAAATATGTCACGACCCGTTCCCAGTCTGTTCTCTTATGAGTTCATTTCTGCACAGCCTAATGTCAACTCATTGTTTGACCTTTTTCAAGGTACACTTTATTGTCTGTATCATACACCGCAGTGTTTTAACCGTTTGAATGTAAGTATTCGTCAGCCACTGACTTACGGCCTACCGGATGAGCTATTCACTTCGTTCACATGTCCCAATCTGCTTTGTTTCATCTGTGGTTCTGACACGTCAGATGCTATCTGTTCTCCCCCTTTAACTTGTGCGTTTGACAGTACAGTTTTCAACTGTTACGCCTACCACGTCACTTACAAGTTCACACATGCAATGGAAACTGCCAGGCTTCCAGATATGTAGTAATGAGCAGTCCAATTGTCCAGAGCGGGTAGGTGCGACCATGTAACAATTAAACTGTCGTCTTTATCACCGAGTCACAGTGAGCTTAGGTTTAGAGTTGTGAATAATTTGTATTGCTACCGAATAGAATATTACTCCGGTAAGCAAAGCATGAGGAAGCTGAGCTGGACTAACGTACACAACTGTATACTGTACTTGCTAACCTACAATCATCCTCGGGTGATTTGTGTAAATGTTAACACAATCACAGGAAACAGAAGCGGATAAATCAAATACTACCTACAAGTTTGATTAAAGGTGGGTACTACTGTGTATCGTGTGATACGTCAAAGATAGAACATATAGTTCCTTTTTGATTTTCACAGCTCCAGAAGAAATGACCAAGCCTCATACCTTAACCCGTACCGAATCGAATTCTTCTGGCAGTTCGGTAAACCGGAGTTCACGGAGCTCTCAAAACAGTCAGCATACTCCGATTAGAACAGAGGATTCCATGGTTGCAAGCAGACAGGAGCCAACATTGATCGCTATGAGGTAAGCTGTTAATGATTTTTCTAGAGCATTGGATTTTTAGACGGTTACTGACTTAAGGCGTCCCCCAGTTTGCGTGTTTTTTTTATACTACTTACTTAATGCAAACTTGATAACGCCATTCGCATACGTTGTTGTTTGCCTGGATTGACCTTTGATAAACACGATGAACTGTTTCGATTTCGACGATAAAATTTAACCAAACGATGGTAAGATAAGTAATATGTATTTGTCCGTCAAATTAACCGGAAGTACACTACAAACGACCTGGTTCTACGAAGTATGCAATGAACAAACGGTTGTGATGAAGCGCACAGAGCTTACGAG